CGAGATTACTAAAATGTTTGTATTCATAGTATTTGATATTTTTACTTGAAATATATTCTTCAATCCACTCGTTTGAACCATTAGCAGCTTGCATTTTATTTTATTTTTTTTTTAAATTATAAATTTTGGAGAAAAAAAAAAAACATGCACTTAGTCGATCATGCTATTCTAACCCACCATTCATTATACTGTGGTGTAACGGGGGAAAACACTTGATCAAAGATCAAATCTAAAAAAAAAAAAGGCGTAATAGAAATGATGATATCAAAAAATAAAAATAAAATAAGAATATGCCTATGAAAGTAGAAAGCGAAAAATTATCTAAAAAAAAAAAAGTAACTTACCTATGCATCCGACTAGTCTAAAATAAGAGAAAAAAAAATAATGAAATATGAATCGTCGCTCGCTCGATCTAACCTTTTAAGTTACAGCTAATTTCAAAAGTCACGGGACGGACGATCATTTTGCAGATCGATAAAAAAAACTCGGTTTACAGCTGGCTTGTGCTGTATTGTTTTTACATGAAATTATGCATTGTGGCAATGATAAATATTTCATTATGATTATTGCTATTTAAATAATAACTTTTTTTTTATATGCATTGATAACATTACGGCAATGTGTTAGTTTATTCATTAAGGTGTTATTAAACTAGATGTTGGATTATAGAAAAGGATTGAAACAGCGACTACGCGGTCATAAGCTTTTGGAGTAATTCCTTATGTTGACCTCTAATTTTTATCAATCACCACATTTAAATTAAATGAAAAGAGAGACATTTTAGTGTTGACGTACTTTTATGGGAATTATCAAGCGGTCATCCTTCGTTTTATGTTAAAGATGAAGAAAGAATATGACTTAAGTTTAGCTATCTAAATTTAGAGAAAAGATCATTCCCGGCACACCTGAAGAAAATGTAATTATAATAAATGAGAATGATCAAACGAATAATTATGAATCAATTCTTTAACAACGTATTTTGGATAAATTCGATGCTTCTTCTAGTACAAATAATGTATCAAATAATTCTGAAATTATTCATCCTTTAGAAGGATTAAAATCAAATGTTGGATATTTTAAATCTTAACGATTACAGAACTTAATAAGGATGGAATATTAAACGTCTTTGGAAGAATACAAAGATATCAGAATTATCTAAACTATTTTGCAATGATACTAAAATTACTAGCTTACCAACTTTTACCAAACTCATTAACGATTCTTGATTGCTTTTATTCTCAAATAACTTTCCTACATACTTTACCCAACTCCCAATAACTATTCTACCAACTTTGCTCAACACCTTAATGGTACTCAGATGTTAGAGCACTAAAATAATTTCTTGATTGCTCTAATCAATAAATATCCTACCAACATTACCCAACTCCTTAACTGCACTTTGATGTTTAACACTGAAATAAATAGCTTATCAAATTTACCCAACTCCTTAACGGAACAACCTCAAGACTGTATGATACGACAGGTTACGAGAATCTAAAAAATCAATTTGCCTAACTGATGTTGAAACTTTTTTAAGTTACTATCGGAATTTCAGGCATATTTTTTTTAGTACTTTCCAGGTTTCAAATAGAAAACGAAATACCACCAATAAGATAGTTGTATTTTCATTGTTTTAGGGAATATCCCGCAACAAAATATGTCTTCCCATTTTTTGCATGAACAGTATGCAGTTGCAGATGTAGATGATGAACTGATTGAATCGATCGTTTTGGAAGTGCGCAGTACGTGTTTCTATAGTTTCATTTTTTTTAACTTTTCGTTTTTTTATTTAATTTTGTTTCTTTCATTTTGTACTGCAGCGATAGAAAAAATCTGATGGGTCGCTTCGAATACGCGGTATGCTTTTTGTTTGTATAGTTTTTTAGTTCTATTTTTTTTTTAATTGTAAATTTATTTTTTTTTAAAATTTATGACTTGCGATCGGTCAATTGGTTGACTTAAATCAATAACTCAAAAAATTAAATCACTTTTTTTAATTAGTTCTTCGATTTGTTTTTGTCTAGCTTTTTCAATCAAGTTTTTTAATTTACTTCGCTTTGTTTATCATTTTAAGGTTTCTCTTTCGAGTTAGAGTAATTGCTTTTTTTTGATCATTTGCATCAATCATAATTTTTTTATTATTATTATAGCTCTCTTATTACGTCACAAACACTTGAATCAAATTTGTTTTTCTAAAAAAAAAAAAAAAAAAAAAAAAAAAAAAATAGAATGAGACATACAGGTGGAGATATAAAGCTTACAACAGGAAACAAAAACATTTGGAAAAGATATTAAAAAAAAAAATTTCATTAATCAAAATGATATTAAAAAGTTAAAGAATTGAACTAAGTTAGGAAAGGCCTTAAAAAAAATTGAGAATAATTCATGCGAGATTTCAAGAAATTGTGGTATTTGAATGTATTTATGGTATTTTGGAAAAATATGTCCATCATCTGTCTACTTCATTTAACGAAAAAAATATTATAAAAAAAATTCAGGATTCGTTTCTTTGTATAATTTATTAGGTTGTCCCACCTTCGTTAATATTTTTTTTTAAAAAGGTTTACAAATACATGCTGAATATTTTTATTTTAATTAGTTTGGAAATATTTTTCTTGATAATTGTTCGTTTATTGACAGTATTATTTTATATAATTAAAAGGACGCTACTTTGAACGAATCGTTTTTTGAAACTTAATAAACTTTTATTGAAACATCTTTCGTAAAATTTACAAGATTTTATTTAGTATTAGCAAATATTAACATACAATAATCACTTTTAAGGCTTGCGCTTAGCCAGTTATAGTTTAAACTATAACCGTTTCTCCTGAACACCGCATAGAGGTGGCAAAGCTTCGTTCAGGTTAAGAAAACTTGAACCACCACATATCAAATGTGATAGTTCATTTGAGGTGAAATAAAAGAATGCGAAAACGAATATAAAGAGGGTATAATTTAAAAAAATAATAATAATAATAAAAAAGAAAAGTTCACCTCAAGACATCATCGAAATACATAGATTAAATAATTTTTTTATATATTATTTAAAATAAAAGATAAAAATAAATTCTAAAAAAAAAAAATACGGATGAAGTGGCCAAAAAGGGAAACATTTTAATTGCAAAAAGGAAAGACGAAGCAGCCAAAATCATATAATATATACGATACCTTCGTATCGTAGTCATGTTTACCAAAAGATAAACACAAAGGGGGAATTTTTTTTTAATTTTTTAATATTTTTAATATTTTTCTTAATATTTTTAATTTTTAATTTTTTAATTTTTTAATTGCCGGCCAAGACGACAAAAAGAAGGAGAGGTGGCCAGTTAAAAACGAAGGGGGAAGGGATAAAAACCATAATCAATGGCTACGTAGGAACCAGGAGGATCAAGATCCATCGGTTCTGGCCACCAAAGAAGACGAAAATGAATAAAGGGTCGGTTAAAAACGGGAAGGGTAAAAGAAGGGGTAGAAGAATTAGAAGAAGAAGACGAAATAGAGGAAGTAGAAGGAGATGAAAAAGGGGATGAACTTAAAGAGGGGGAAGGAGGGGAAGGAGGAGAACGATAAAATCTAGTATTAGGAATAAGAGAAATAGCGGGAGGAATTGGAGGAGGAACAAAAAATGATGCGGGAATAGGAGAAGGAAAAGGTGAAGGAGGAGTAGAGGAAATCGAAGAAGTGGGAGAAGAAGAAGGAGAAGAAACGGGAAATGTAGGAGAATGGGGGAAAAAAGCTAAAGAAGGAGAAGTATTAGTAGGAGGTAAATTAGGAGATGAAGAAGAAGGCGAAGACGAGGAAGAAAAATCGGAAGAAAGTGAAGAAAGTAAAGAAAGTGAAGAAGAAGCTGCTGCAGAAGAAGGGGAAGGAGAAGAAGGTACAGCTGCTAAAGGGGCAGAAGAAGAGGGAACTGAAGGGGTTAAAAGAAATGGAAGTTGAAAAATTTGGTCGTCGCCTTGACGTGACAACAGCACGAGTGACTCCTTGAACGCGAACCTGTCGTGTTTCTCGCATCGTTTAAAAGATTCCTTGAAATAATAAAATGTAAGTTATTATTTTTTTACTTCTTTTTTTTAAACAAAAATACGAAAAACGATACCCACCAAAAAGTAAAGAAAAGTTGGAATAAAGGTAAAATGAAGTTGCGAGATTCGTAAATAGCAAAAAATGACGTCAATGCTAAGATCCTAATCCCTAGGCAAAGATCTGTAATTTTTTATATTATAGTAAAAATTTTTTAATTACGAAATTAAATAATAACAAACTTTATTAAACTTTGTAAACATTTTCCTTCGCAGCTTTATCACTGGCGAGACATTCACTTCATTAGAATTCTCAAGAAGTTCTTGTTGCGCACCCAAAAATTCAGCAATTAATTTTAAATATAATCCAGTATCAGTTGTAAATGGGATGCAACCATATCCAAAAGAACGATACGACTAGCCATAAGCAAATTTTTCGTTGCGGTAGAGAAATTACATTCTAAAAGAGATTTTATATCAATATTTTCTACAACTTAATCAGTTCCAATCTTCCTCAAGGTTACAATATTGAAAAATAATATATCATTGGCAGTAATTCTTATCTCTTTTTGACTTTCATGATTGACAAAATAATGACGTAATTTTTTCTGCATTATAATTAAAATGACGACTAACTCCCTGTGCGATGGTTAACCAGATATCATCAGGTGATAATCTTAAATGTTGATGGTAGTTGTAAACGTGAAGAATGGTCGCTGACATTCCATGAAAGGTCATGATATCTTTGATCAGAGATGGTTGGCTTGAAGGAGTTCTTCACAATTAACTAAGACAGCATGAACTTTTGTATCAGGAAAAATTTGAGAAATTTTATTTTTTATTGTAACTTTTCTATGAAGGTCATTTTCGAGATTAATATTTTTAGTGAGGATATGAGTACACATTTTTTTTTATTTATTTTATTTTTTTTTTTTTCAAAAAAAAAAGAATGTGATTTTATAGGCATTTAGGCACTTACATATTTTTGGACTTCGTCAATAGAATCCAAACACCAGTATGTACGTTTTTTATTGACGAATCCGCATTTGGCAAATACTCTTTGTTAAATATAAACTCTAAAATTGGTTGCGTATTTTATTAACGAAACCCCATTTGGCAAATTATTTTCAGCCAAAATACTTCGTCACTGCGGTTTATTAATTAAATCATAATTGGTTATATTTAAAATGAACGATATCGCATTTTTCATCCGTTTTTAATAATTTGTTATTATGTCGGATACTAACCCTGATTTTAGAACATTCATCTAATTGATAAAAAAAAAATGAATGAATGACTTAACAAAAAGCAAAAGATAAAGTTGTTTGACGAGTTTCTAAATGGTAAAGGTAAAAAAAGCCTGCGGAATTCGGAATTATAAATATTTCGGTTAAAATAAAATTAATATTAAAAAGAGAATTAGTTGTTTTTTACTTTTCGGACAGAGAACGTCTTAAAGCGCGGACAAAATGGTTGTCGATCATATTACGTATGCATATAAAGGTGATTTATAATAGCATCTTTCACACAAGCAATGAAATGTGAGAAGTGGTCGTAGTTACTCTAAGTTTTTCTATTGCGTTCAAAACCTTAGTTATTGTAATCGTTTATTTTGACGATCCAATTTAATTCACTTTTTTTTTGATGATGCAATTATGATTTAGTACAATATACTGTTAATTAGCTTTTAATAAATTAAATAAAGATCAAGAAATAAATATTTTTGTTAATGTTTATATTTGAATGATAAAACTAATCGCAATTCGGTTGAAATCCGAGGTTTCAAATTAATAAGTGTTTAAACTGGTTTGTGAAAATAAAACCGGTTTCAAATTCTATGCCTAAAAATATTGTTTATCTGTTTTAATAGGATAATTCATCAAAAATATATATATATACAGTATATAACACGTCACGTACTGACAAAACGATTCGTACAAACTTGCGATTGCTTTCATTCTAAAACAAAAGATTCAGTAGAACAAAGTATTTGAATTGTTCCTTTTCTTTATGTAAAAAAAGGTTATGATTACTGGAAGTTTAATCGAAACTTGTTCTATTTTTAGTTGAATTCTATATTCTAAATTATTTAATTGAATTGAATTTCAGAATAATTATGTTCATTATGTTTATTTTCGTCTGTTGAAAATTTTCTAAGAAAAAATAAAAATAAAAATAAACAGACCTTTTTCAATTTGATTATTGCTTAAATTAGTAAATGTCATAATGCGTTATTTAACTTATCAACCGATACAATATCTAAATTATACAATTAGCATCGCTATAAAAATGATCATAATAAAATGAAACAAATCCATGCATCAAATATTTATAGCTTGTAAATAAATGATTCATGTAGAATCTATAGCAACATATCTGAGATAGTAGATAATTTTGACCCTTGAAGAATTTGTATATATACACAAATTGAAATATATATCATACATCGAGCCCCGTCTTCATAAAATCACAATGGATTATACTAAATATCAAAGGATTAAAGATATGCATAAATATACACAATAGAAATAAATATGCATTTAATTTATTGTTATAGACCATGATGTTTCGTTGGTCGTAACTACTTTACTATAATCATTCAAATCTTTGCCATTCCTAAAAAAAAAGAAAATAAGTTAAAGAAAAAATAAAGAACTTTTCCGACTGTAAAAAAAAAAGAATTGCAAAAAATAAATAAGGTTGCAGGGAAAAACCATCTCATTTTGATAAAAGTAGAACCTTTCGAAAATAAATTTGTCAATTTCGACGGACTTTCTACGGGTTGATAATTTGACCATTTTTTAATTCACAATTTTGATTTAACTAAATTTAATGGGCTGGACTTAAGATAGTTTTGGACCTAGACGGAGAATCGGACATACATTAGTTCTAAACTTCTTCAACTTTACCTATATTCGTTTTTATTCCCATAAGAAAAAAGACTATATATAACGGCATTTTCGTGGATTATGCGATTTTAGGGGACAGAACTTTTTCGGTAGTGAGAAAATCTATTCGTCACTCCCTATCCGTCACAATTATTTCCAGCCGTTTTCCTTAATGCCGGCCATTTTTGATGGTAAGCAGGTTTAAAATTCCCTTTTTAGAGAACGCACTCGCACAGCACATGACTGATCTATTTGTTGAACAATTTATAAATTCCGAAATTTTTTTTTTGTTTCACAGCAGTCGGTTTTGCTTGTCACTTTTGTAAAAATAATGGAAAAAAGAAACATTCACGTTTCATTTTCATTTACCAAAATATGTGGAATTCCCATAGTACTTGGCAATGTAAAAGAATTAGGACTTTGGAATAATCCTATTATACAACTTTTTCAACCATTTTCTCAAAATTCAACATATTTACAATCTAATCCGATTGCTATTTCGTTATCAAATTTTGATATTCAGTACAAATTTGCTATTCTTTAACCGAGCCCATTGGGAAACAAAAATTGCATTCGAAGGATCCAGTATTGAAGACAGTCGCACTTTGGATATTATAAAAAATTACCAATTTGGTATATTGAATTTCTTTTGCTATCCAATACTATAATAGACGTCTTTGCTTTCCTAGATAGTATTTATAATAATATCAGAGATAATTACCTTATAGATAATTTTATGGAATATCAGCATTTATTAACTATTTACAATGATCTTATGATTCGCGCATAAATCTTGAATTCATTGTCAATCATATTAATGATAGGTCAAAAAAACAACGGATCATTATATGTCTTCTCTTAGGGTAATATATCAAGTCAAGGAAAAATTATGAATTACAAGCTTCATTTCCTTCGGGACTTCTGCTAGATGCACTTGAGAACTATAAACAAGAAGCATTTACCTTAGACATCAAAGATCAAATACACTTCGCTATTACAACTTTAGTCATAACGCTTTCCAGATGCAATTTTAATTGGCTTAATATTTTTAATATTACTGGAGAAATAGATCCCAATGTACCTTTATTGATCGTTTACGGGCTTTAAGATTTTCCAGTGACAATGTATTAGCAAAATTTATGAAGGGGTTGAAATTATTGGTACTTATGTTAACGGCACGGCATTAATTTTGAAACTTATGTTAAACTTTCCAAGGTAAATTTTAAATAATTATATATTTTTCTAAAAACTATTTAATATAATTTATTAATTTATAGTGTTAATGCAATTATTTCATAACATGGACTCTCTTAAAAACTTTGGAATAATTTTCTTTTGCATGATATTGCATTGGATAAACAAATATTCATGTCGTTTATTGAACGAATTCGAGACATTATTTTTCATGATGATGTTTCTACCTTAGAGTACCATTTTAAAAGTTTTCACAAAAGTTATCAGAATGATGTTTCTGATGTCTTCCGGAGTCGCGCTTTAATTTTACTCGAAAGTCCAGTTAGAAAGTGGACCGATCAGAATTTTTTAGCTATACAAAGACTTCTTCAAAATGATGATCTTGACTGGCGTAATGAGAACAAAGACCTTCAAAATGATGATCTTGACTAGCGTAGTGATTACATAATACTTTCGTTAGAGTTGATATCCCAATCTCATAGTTTGGAATTATTAAATATATTTCCAAAACTTTTGGATAATTGGTTTCGCAGTGATTTTTCTGATATCAAAAAGAAAAAGATACCAAGTATTTGTGTAAATTGGTTTACACTTTTTTTTGAGAAAAACATTTTAGTTTTTGATGTTATTAGATTAAATATAATAAAGTCTTAATTTTAATCAAAAAATTCTCAGAATTCTATGATATTAATTAGCAATATTTTTTGATTATATATTTAATTAATAATAAATAATAAAATATTTATTCTTTAATAAAGATAAATGCTAATTTTCACAGTTATATGTCACCCCTAATAAGTATATGTGACCCGGAAAATAAAATCCGGCTACCATTTTTTTCTGGGTGATGCTGTGGCTGCTTAATAATTACAATGTTGCAAAAAAAAAAAAAAAAAAATAATTTTAAAAAATATCTTGATGTTTGAATGAATCATCCATATAATAGAATATTACACCTTCTATTCCTGAACGAAACGGCCCTTATGTTTATTTTGCTTTATATAAATCGTTAGTTTTATAAAATTATCGGCAGTTGATTGCCAAGTTCCACCAGTTGCATTTAAAAAAATAAAAGAAAATATATTTAATGATAGTTTGGTCTTGTAAAAACGACTGGTTTGAAATTTTATGATTAATATAACCCATCAAGGATATATCTAAAAGCTATTTATTACAAGACGCTTATTAGGTCAGGTTCGAAGTATATTTTCTTACCGATAAATGATTGTACCTAAAAATTTTGACTAAAATGTTTTAAGAAAGTTTCTTTAAAGTTGATACAAAAAGGCAGCGAAGTTCGGTCAAAGATAATCAGACAAGGATAAAAGTAAATTTATAATTACTTTTCGAAGAAATGATTCATTGTTGTAAAACAAATGTATTTTATGAATATGTGAATAATGATAAATATTAGCAAACTTATAATTATTCTTCGAGTCAGATAAATTTATGAAAAAAAAAAATAATAAAAAAAAAAATTTTTGAGTTAAGTTGATAACCCTATCATCAGATCGACCAATATTTTTTTTTTCACTTTTATACTTTCTTTTATTGTTTATCGCTTTTTTATTTTATTTTTTTTATTGGATCGCCTCAGTTGTTTAATTTAATTATTTCTTCTACTTTTTGCCTGCGAGTCG